TGGGTTCAGCGCACACTGAACTGCGGGGTTGCAATTATTCCTCAGTTATGACCACCATGGCTAATGTTCACTATCAGATGTTTAATTATCCAGCCAATTTAATTTTCCAGTACGTGTAATGCTCTACTTCTAAAATGCAAAACATTCTGAAAACAGACCACTGTTGCTAATCCATTGTTGTTGCTGCTAATTGCCATCTAGTCGGCTCCAACTCATGGAGAACAAAATGTATAACAGAACAAAATGTTGTCTTGTCCTGCACCATCTTTACAACGGTATGTTTGAGTCCAGGAAGCGAGGATGGCAAGACTTCAACTCACTTACTTTGGACATGTTATCAGAGGAGACCAGTCATTAGAAGAGGACATGATGTTTGGTGGAGGGCCAGTGTAAACAAGGGAAACTCTCAATGAGATGGATTGCCACAGTAGTCACAACAATTGACTCAAACATACCAACGATCAGGAAGATGGCTAATCCAGTAGTTAGGAACAATTTCGACTATCATCAACAGCTGAAATGTGTTTGAACTACCAATTCCTGAAGTCAAAAATTTATACTTTTTCAGGCGGACCTCTTCCTAAACAAAAGTGCTCATGAAGAGAATATAGAGGGCTTGGTCCTCCCTCAGTTGAGTGTTAGCAATCCTAATGGAGCCCTGGTGGCTCAGTGGTCAAGAGCTCGGCTGTTAACCAAAAGGTCAGCAGTTTGAATCTACCAGCTGCTCCTTGGAAACTCTATGGGGCAGCTCTACTCTCTCCTATAGCATAGCTATGAGTCAGAATCGACTTGACAATGTTTTTTTTTTTTTTTTTTTTTTAATGACCTCTCACCATATCTGCTCACCAATCAGAGTGGAAATCATCCCATCATAAAGTCATAAACGATTTTTTTCACTTCTGAACTCCTGCTATTTGTGCTGAATGTACATGGATAGATGCGTGGATAGCCGGTCACCAACAGTTGATGTGAAATTTGTTTTTGATTGTCAGTCTTGAATAAAAGAAGTTTAGATGGTGCTGCCACCTCCTGTGGAGCCCTGGTGGCACAGTGGTTAACAGCTAGGGCTAACCAAAGGTCAGCAGTTCAAATCCACCAGCTGCTCCTTGGAAACCCAATAGGGCAGTTCTACGCAGGCCTCCAGGATTTTTCAGTTTGGTCAAGGTGGGACTGACTGACTGGCTCCCTCTTCTACCAGAACCACCCCTAGTTCAGTCTGTGGTGCACTGTTTTGTGCCCGGAAGCATAGCCTGCTACTGACATCCAACTAACAGGCTGCTTTAGGGATTCTAAAGAAAATAACCAGAACTAGTGAGACAAACCAGAATATATCAATTCCTATCTTCTGTCCTTGCGGAAAGTTATTAAGTTATTTAGCATCTCTTATCCTCAGCTTATTCACATGTAAAATGAAATTCACAGTTTTTAGAAGCATTATATAAAATAATACATAGCAAATGCAATACATATCAACAGAGATGCTTTCTATATATAGTATTTGAATTATTTTAAAAATTACTGAGAAAGTCCATTCCTCCCCTATGAATGGCTTAGCAAACAGAACTGATTTTTCTGTCAAATAGACTGCCTCTTTTTGACAAAATGGATCAGGCATTTCAATATTATGTACATTCTGCAATTGCAGACATTTCATCCCTTATCCTAGGCAATTGGGTATTTCCATCTTATCTGTGTGATAAAATACAGAAACAGCTGCATGGTGGTTGGTTCAACACAAATTTTAATCGTTTGATGACTATCTCCAGTGGTCCCAGATAAGCTCCCCAAGGGGAGGAATCATGGCCCTCCTTTTCATGGCTGACTCCCCACCCCCAGCACAGGGTCACCTCTACAACAAGCCCTCAGTGCACCTTTGTGGTTGGTGCTTTTATTGGTTTCCTAGGGCTACCATAACGAATTATTACAAACTTGGTAGCTTACAACAACAGATATTTATTCTCACAGTTCTGGAAGCCAGAAGTTCAACATGAGTTTCACTGGACTGAAATCAGGGTGGTGGCAGGGCTGCACTCTTCCGAGACTCTAGGGCAGAATCCATTCCTTGGTTCTCCCAGGTTCTGGTGGCTGCTTGCATTCCTTTGCTTGTAGCCACATCACTACAATTTCTGCCTCCATCTTCATGTCACCTTCTCTTCTGTGTGTATCAAATCTCCCTCTGCCTCTCTTTTGTAAGGACACTTGTGACTGGATTTAAGACCCACTTGGATAACTCCGCATGTCAAGATCCTTAACTTAATCACATCTGCAAAGATCCTTTTTCCTTACAAGGTTACATTTACAGGTTCCAGGGATTAGGACCTGCTGTATTTGGGTGGCTATTATTCAGCCTAATACAGTGGTATTTGGTAATATATCATCTCAGGGCTATGAGCACAGACACAGTGGGTTTGGGAACTGGATGATGCAGAGGAGATCTCTGAAGGTAAGGAGTCTGGAACCCAGGTCTTCTGACTCCTGGCCCCTGGCTCACCCCCCCTGCACTGTGTTGGCATATGGACTTGGAAGAAAATAACATGGGCTTCAGTCATCCATGACCCTGTGCACCCCTCCTCCATCCCCAAATCCCTTGGTATGTTACTTTTATTGAAGTAGGAAGAAAAAAAAAACAAAACAAAAGATAAGATTCCACAGAAAACAAAACCCAAACATCTTTAACAGAAAAGTCTTTCCTTTGTTTACTTTGCTGGCAGTTTTGTAAGTTCAGTTAAGAAACAGGCATGAGAATGTCTATGATGACACCAGAAAGATTAGCAATAGCATCTTGCAAGTGTAAGGCACCACTCAGCTTTGATGCTTCTCAGAGGTCTTTAAGAAATTTAATCTCCTGAATTAAAAATCTCTAATAGAAGCAGTCAGAATGAGTGGTAACAAGGAGAAAGGAAATGAACAACAGGAAAAATCCTTCTGTTTCACTGAAAATTACTAGATCACTCAATTTAAAGATGCAGATTGATTTTTCCCCCAGGCTCGTCCAGGCCTTTTTGATGCATCTATTTCCCCCAGAAGAACTGAGCAATCCAAAGGAAGAGAATTATCCAGAAGGTTCTAGATCTACCCTACAAGCCAGGCTCACAGGACTCTCACTGGCACACCCTGACTGTCCCTTGACCTTTGTAGACAGGGCCTCAGAGTTCACTTCCAGGAAGTTTGTCTGTCCTGCCGCTGAGTCAGTAAGCACTTCTACAGGTGGAAAAGACAGGCAAATGAAGAGTTGGCCTCTTACGCTTCTTACCATGTGCCCACCTCCCCCCACCCCGCGCCCCCCATCTCTGGGCATGAACAGATGTTTGGTGAAGGACTCAATTGTCTCGTCCTCCTGGCTTTCAAGGCAAAGATCAGGCATAGCTCCCTGGGTATGCAGTGTAGGAAGGCTTTGCTCAACTATGTACTGGTGGATCAGTTAATAGTGATTAAAAACCAGTTCTCTCTTGGGCAATTATATTTGGTTTTTCAAAGTTCTCAAAAACAGTCTTCAGTCTCCAATTCCCACCTCCATCCCAGTAAAAAGAGAAAAAAAAGCACCGTGTGTCTCAGGGATTCCCAAACTTGTCTTCACATTAGAATTGGGAGTGGGGGAGTCTCTGTAGGTAGAGGATCAATTATTAAACATCCAAAGTCCAGGCCCCACTCCAGACCAAAGAAATCACACTCTCTGGTTGTGGGACAGAAGCATCAGTATTTCTTGAAGCCCCCCCACCCCCACCCCAGGTGAGACGATCATGCAGACTAGGTTGGAAACCCCTGCTCTATCTTATTCCCATACTACAGTGGGACTATTCAGGATGCCGTTCCCAATGAAAGAGACCTTATTTACCTAGCTATAACCAAGAAATTAGCTGATCTTGCTTGCTGCTTCTGAGAATATTTTTAATCCCTAAAATAAAATTAACATTGGATTCATTCAGTCACTTCCTTCCAAATAAAACATTGTTTTCTACAGCAATAACTCTCAGCAGAACACGGAGGGCCCCAGGAAGGGAGTGAAAGTATTTGTTCACTAAACAGTGTAACATAAATGCATCTTTCTTTTGTTTGCACATCACTATCCTATGATAGCCCATGTTTGTATTCAGTGCCAAGGCAACAGGTAAATGCTCTCACAAAGCACTAAACCATATGTGCAAAATTACATGTTATTTAGAACCATAAGGAAAATGAATATTAATAACCTATGTATCCCTTTAAATAACAAGGTGATTAAACAAACTTGTCTGTAATATACAGACCTAACTCTTGCAGGTTTAAGGCTACCCTGAGGCGCTCACATCCATATTATTTGACAAACACCTGGTTGAAAGAGCTCCTTGTCTCTCAATCAGTGAGGTGGCAGAAGCGGGGAAGACCTGGTCACAGAGGCCTATGGGGTGAATATATTACCTTTGGCTTTTCAGGCAACATGACTGCATGTTCTTTATAAATCACATACTCCCAGCATCAGGAATGCACAGATAGTCATTGAAAGTGAGACAAAAGATGGAGCTGGTGCCTGATGATCTTTTAACCCCTAATATACCTGCTGCAATGGTTTACCTTTCCCGTTTTTGGAGGCAGAGGCTCTTCATGGGAGCCTTGCCACTCTGGGGTGAGGGGCTTGGCCACCAGCTCCCTGTCACTCTGTGGCTGATCAGAGTCCCTCGCACGCCTTCCCCTCTGGAAACCTCAGCTTGATGACCTGTGCTGGAGTGCCAAGTACTAAATTTGTGACTCTGAGGTTCTCTGTGGACAAAGCTTAAGATTTCCATTTTGTTTTGGGTACTTAGTAAAATTTTGAGAACGTGAGTTTTTTTTTTTTTTTTTTTAACATAAGAAGTGATTTGTAGAATAGTACAGATTTTAAAAATGCTACTCTAATTTTTGGTTCAACATCACAATGGAGCAAAACAAACTGCATGGGTAAGGTGATATGTTAGGTTACTGCTAACATGCCCTGCAACAAGGACTTATGCCTAATTAGGAGTTACAAAAAGCACATTGTTTGGTGCTATACACTCTATTAACAAAAACAAAACCCAAGGGGCCTAAAGGCCATTCTGAGCAAGGGTCCTTCTTCTGAAACTGGGAAGAGGTTTTGCTGATTTGGAAAGTCTGCGTGGTTGTTTAAGGTCCTACACCCAGGAGAATAAAAGTTTCTGGTTATGACATTACACTCTATTTATTATTTGAAATGTGGTATACATTTATGAATATGTATAAACATTTTAGTACAACTAAAATCCACAACTGGTAAACAAGCTGTGCTTTCTTTAGTGTACAATTTTGGAGTTTACATCTGGACATTTTGGTGTTGTGGAGACCCAGTCTGTGAATCTAGTCAAATTGCTTCATATTACTATAGTAACTGTGACGGAAGAAATTTGTTTCTTAAAAGGGATGTTCCTTGTACAGAAGAGGTGTCACACAGTGGAACTACTAAACCAGGTCTCAAGGGAACAAGAGAAACACGGCTGACACGATGAAAGAGATTATGTGAAGGAGACTCCTAATGATCCACGTCAACACACATTGGACAAAACAAGCCACATGGTGTGACACACAGAAATGAGCATTCCTTTCCAGACTGTCGGGTGGTAATGTACAGCCCCCCTCCCCCCACTGGAGGGGTCCCATCCAGCAAGAGCTTGCACACTCCTCGGGCACACTTCTCAGGGCACCTCACAGGTGTCACAGCTGCAACTCCGAGGTGCTGACCAGGCCCAGGGCTCTGGCTTCTTCTGGAGTCAAGCCGCTCTTCAGGGTCCTTCGCACTGCAGCGGCACCCGCAGAGCACAGTCAAAGGAATGAGAAGAGAACAAGATATTAGCAGCAAGGTATATGGCAGTCAGTCCACCAATCCCCCCCTTCCCACAGACTCCCAGGGAAGCTACAAGGCTCAAAGACGTGGTGCGCCATCCTGCTCTTGCTGAAGTGCCCTGGTGGGCAAGGCCAGCAGCTGTCTATCTGCCAGTGCAGTAAAAATCTTGAGGCTTCAGTAGGCTGACCTGAAGATGCCAAGGACATTGACTTGGAGAGCCAAGAGGTGGGGGAGCTTGTAAAGAGAGAAGGGAGGAGAGGTCTACCCACACAGGGTTTCTAAGAAATTGGTGCGAACTGCCTAAGAAATGAATCAGAGCTAGAAAAGTAATTATAGAGTGTAGGAAAATATGAGTTCCAATGATGTAAATTATGTAACATAACTACTGCATAGTGGGGGCTCACCAATATCCAATAACCCTGCAAATCTGCAGAATGAGTACTGATGCTGGGGACATAACCAAGAACCTGTGGTCCCACCTAGGAAGGTGTTAACAGGGGCAGCAGTCAGAATGAGTCTCTCTGTGAGTGTTATGGGTCTTTGTCTGAACTCATCTAAGGGCCTCCAGAGAGAATTATTAAAACAACCAGTGACTCCTTGAGGACTAGATGCCAAGGAGCAAATGGCCAAACTCCTTGGGGGGAGGGGGATCCGGTGGCCGCTTAAGCAGGAAACACACAAGGCTCAAGCAGGGTCAATGACCACAGGTCAATGACCACCTTCACCTTCACAATTGACAGATGGAAGGGACACCCATATTTAATTTAGAATTGGCTTGTGTTTAGCTTGGCATGATGGTTTTTCCCACTGTTTAGTGTTGCTCAAATTCAATGTCAAAATAAAGGCTGGATAAGGGTGAAAGAGGAGGCAGCTATCCCTTCCAAGACAAGTCCTTTCATTTGAAAGGTCGCCTAATTACATAATCTCTTAATTTACAAATTGTTTTTGGCCTGCTCTGTATTTTTAAAAGGTCACACAGAGTTTAAGGTTTTATTTCCAGAAGATGTGTGTTATGGATCTACCTTTCACCCTAAATCTTAAATCAAGCAGAATGCCTGATATGAAAAGGGCAGGCTCCAGACCAGAGTGTGGAGACAGTGAAGCTCACCCTTAGCGCCTTTCCATCTTCCCTTGCCAGACCCAGCTCCCCCCATCCCTTCTGTGAGCAGGGAACTTGGGTCTTCTGAGACTTCCCAAGAGGCCAAGACTCCACGCATTGTGCCTCTGCAGGCAACACTCCATATGCTATGGCTGTCATCCCCTGGACAAAAGCTCACTTAGCCCACAAAGGATCTGAAGATCCATGACCACGGTAGAAGCAACAGCAGCTAATATCTGTTAATAAATCATTTCTTCTCTCCTAGGGATCAACAATTTGAACAGGGTCAACATCTGATCCATCCATCAATCAATCAATAAATTATTTATGGAGAACCTACTGCGTGCTCAGCATTTAACTCTGAGAATTGAAACACTTATAGAAGACTCATAGGCATCAAGAATGGTTTTTTATAGAGACACAAGGATCTGTGGTGAGGGTTGCTCTCAAATCAAGTCACATACACTACTGTATTTCCAAGCCTAGCTTTGGGCCCCAGAACCTTCCATCTGCAGCTGCTCTCACACTAGCTCACTCCTCCCCCTCCCCCGCCCGCCCCATGGGCTCCAGATCGAGTGTCTAACTCATCCAGACAAAATGTTTGGCTCCAAAATCTTGGCTGGAGGCAGATTACACTTAACTGAGGAACGGAATTTGTTCTATGGGACAGCAATAAAAATACTAGCTTGTAATAACCTTTTATGTTCTTTAAACACTCCTTAAAGTGTTTGTTAAAGAAAGATAACCATTTTTGTGGCATACAATAAAATATCTGTCATTTTTTAGAAGAAAGGACTGCTAAGACCTCTGAACAAAGATACAAAACACTGCCTGAAAAAGTCCATGCTGCACCAGCCAGGCATCTGAAGTTCCATTAGCTAACTCACAGATGGTGGCATGATCCGTGTCAATGAAGGTAATCGTTGTGCATTGAAGTATACATCCTTGCCCAGATGACAACAGAAGACTCCACAGAATGGTGGGCATTTCACCCATGACTAAAAAACCAAACCCCCGATTCCGACTCATAGTAACCCTATAGGACAGAGTAGAACTGCCCCATACAGTTTTCAAGGACCACCTGGTAGATTCAAACTGCCAACCTTTCGGTTAGCAACCGTAGCTCTTAACCACACCACCACCAGGGTTTCCCTTTTACCCAGGAGGATATCTAAAGATGCTTCTTTAACACTTCACACATTTGCTTTCTCCTGTGCCTGTAGCATTCATTTCATTTAAATAACTGAATAAAGAACCTGATACCTTAAGCACATTTAATAGTCTCCTAACAGATATGGGCAGTTGGCCGTCTTATCTGGGACAGGCTCAGAGAACAGAACAAAGCTAAATGGTGACTGTACTGGCCTTGCGGCCTGACTGCACAGACGGCTCCACCCTTGTCCTCATGGGCCTTCTTGCAGTTTTGATGCTACAGACCCCAGAGGCCCTCCCTCACCCACTCTGCCTGGGTTCTCTACTGTGGGGAAAAGCTGCTACAGGCATCATTCCCTTTTACTTGTCAGATGTGTCCCTGAAAAGTGGATATTCATAGAAAAGTCAGCCTCATTTATGGACTTCTATTTTCCTGTGGGTCTTCATGACATTTAGACAAGTTCTCTTAGGAATATACTAACCCCTTAACATAAAGAATTTGAAATCTTCCTTTGTCAAAGAGTCAGAGTTAATTCACTTTACCACTTGAAAGAATGCATGGTGAAGGTAGTCGGCTGAAATCAGGTTTGTATCCTGATTCAAATCACGCATGGAAAGAGCCTCTTTGGCTGTCTGTTCATCCCTTTCTCTGCCTGTCAGTTCATTTATTCATGCATTCATTCATTCATCAAGTGTTCCTGAGCATCTGCCCTGTGCCCAGTGTTGGGACTAGGGCCTCAGTAATCACCAGGGAGATCAAGGAGGTGGACGGCTGACAGGGACACAGTGCGAGGAGAAATGTTCAGGGCAGCAGATCCTGTCTGGATAGGGAGTTGGCTCTCACTCAGGAATCTTCCAGAAAGCAAAAAGGGGCTGAGGAAATAAGAGAACAAGGGGACTAGAAAACAGAGGCTGGCAGGAGATGGAACTGCACAAATCAAACTTCTATAGTAGCAGCATGTCTTCCACCAAATACAGGATTTTTTTTGTTTGGGGTGAGGGTGGGGGCTGGCTTACAGTCTGATACTATCATATCTAGGCCCCTCTCCACTCCCCATTTCTACTTCCCGCTTGAATGCTCTGGCTGTATTGTAGCTGCTCTCCACCCTTTCACACGTGACTGCCTCCCCTCCCCTGTAGCACTTAACAGAGAACAGACAGTGGAAATGTTTATCCCTGTCTGCCTCTAGGCTACTCCACAGACAGCATGGGTCACTCTGCTGGTACCAGATGCTCTGTGCCCCAGCCACCTGTGACAGCTCTCAGATGCTGCAGTGACAGTGGGGATCTGACACAGGGAGGCTCTGCTGTCAACCTGCAGCAGAGGATCTGGGAATTCAGGGAAAGCCATGAGTTCTTTCTCTTTCTTTTTTTTTCTCAAGATAGAAATGAAAATTGAAAAAAAAAATCTTACCAAGTGCTCTCAGGTGACTGTCTGCTAGGATGAGTTGAATCTGATAATAATGGCAGTGGTAGATGCCATTTATTGTTTACATGGATTATTTCCTTTAATCCTTATGGAAACCCAATGAGATGGGTGGAAACCCGGCTAGTACAGTGGTTAAGAGCTATGGCTGCTAACCAAAAGGTCGGCAGTTCAAATCCACCAGGTGCTCCTATAGGGTTGCTATGAGTTGGAATCAACTCAATGGCAAGGGGTTTTTTTTGGGGGGTTTATGAGATGGGTATTGTTATTATCTCCCTTTAGTAAGTGAGCAAATGGTGGCACAAAGAGATCAATTCACTGGCTCAAGGGCACACAGCAAGTAAGTGGTGGAAAAGGATTTGAGCCAGGACAACTGAATCACAGCCCACCGTGAAAACAGCTGTGCCATGGTAAAGCCTTACAGGACATTTTCTGACAATTCTTCACATTGATGGGAAATCAACAGAGCTTTACTTCCTTCCATATGACAGAAATCCATTTGTGCTCTTTCACCTCTGGATCACTGATACATCTTTTTTCTCTTTTTTGTACATAATGTTAAACATAATTTGAAAATAATTTATTTTTTTAACCTCTAAGATTCTAGAGATTTTGTACTGGGTATACTGGGAGTAGTCTAGGATTATATGGATTAATTTCAGAACCTCAAGACACCTTAAATTTAGTGTCTTGCAGTTAGGAGGTAATTAGCCCTGCTGTTATTCAAAACTGTCCATTTATGTTCTCCTTGCTCTTTGAGACCTGTCTGCTGAGTGGAGCCAAAATGGCAGGTCCAGTCATGCCCCTCTGGACTTAAATGTAGGGAATTGTTTTAAGGTGTACAATTCTCGGGGATTTGATGTTAGGCTTCCTATGGGTTTTTTTTTTTTTTTTTTTGACAATGCCAATTTTTTTCTTGCTTTCACCCTACGCTTTTGTTTCACATAAAATCCTGTCCATTGAAAGTAGTGGTTCCCCAAAATTGACATTCTACATAATAACTGGGCAGTACTTTTCAAAAGTGTCAAGGTCATAAAATGTTAATTTCTTAGTTTTGATAAATTGTACTGTGGTTATGCAAGGGGAAGCTGGATGAAGGATATAAGGCAACATTCTATTATTTCTACAACTTTTCTGTAAGTCTAAAATTCTTTCAAAGCAAAAAATTAAAACAAAACAAAACAAAACAACCTGGAACAACAACAACAAAAAAGCAAAGGTTCCCAAAGCTGGTTGATTTTAAACACCACGTTTTTGGATTCACCGCAGGCTGAAT